GTTCATTTTGGCAAATGTAAGAATCAAGAAAAGGATAAAAAACAGAAGGCAACAAAAAATAGATTTAAAAACTTACAGTCTCTAGTGGAGCTTTATGGTGACCATAGAATTCAATGATAAATTGAATAGCGACAACGGGTATACAGTGAAGTATTGCTATCGTCAAGATTCCTCGGAGTGCCGGGATCGTTATGAACAAACTGACGAGCACGAACAACGCTCCAAGGAAATGCAGAAGCATCGCCATTTTCGGATGTGTTCGAAAGCAAAAAAAGAAAGGAATAGAAAGTGATGTAGAAAAACAAAAAGAAACTGCGGTTTAACCAGAACAACGATGGGCAGCAATACCAAAATTGCTGTATATGCATGCAAAAAAAAAAAAACAACTAAGAATTACGCTAAAGAATAGACTGTTAATAAAGCTTAACGTACAGTGCGTCTCACTGTAACTTAGATGGTTGCATCTAAAAATGTCTTCGTGTAATCACAGTCGCCGTTTTATCAGCCAAAAATTTTCTGATAACAACCACAAAACTACCACTACAGTGTCATGACAACTGAAAGTATCAGGATGCTTAAAGGACTTAAAACGAGGACTAGATCTCTTCTACGGTACAATTACAAAGCAGCCTTACAAATGAGGAAAAAATATCTCTGTAGTAACATCTATACTGCACATTTGTTCGTTAAAAAAGAAATTACCCAATTGGTAGTAACTGATAGATAAACAATATAATTATCTTAGTGATTATCTGCACCTTCTAAAAAAAGTAAAAAACTACATTGTAAGAAGTTAAAGAATAGAAATGATTTATAAGTGAACTTAAAATTCCGAATTTTTTCTTTGGGTCACTATAAAATAAAAGGAAAAACTGCATACTGATATCGTGGTGCAATACAAAAAAAGAAGAATACACCTGACACACAATTTGTCAGTGCGTTCGCTTTTGGTTCCTCTAACTCCATTTTATAGTGAAAAAAAAGTGAAACTAATGAATAAGAGGAATATTTAAACGAATTTATACTTGTTTGTAGTTATGAACTACACCAACCCAATGCTGTGCGAAAGTCAAGTCAAAAGTGCTGTGAAATATACGAAAAAACTCGTTTGTTGTTACTCGATACATTGGTTTCGCATTCTCAGGCCGTATTATTGGTTGACTTAAAAGTATATCAAAAATTAACGGCTAAAACATCTTTTATTATGACACTGTACTGCAACGTCATCTAAGCTACTTTAATACTCCGTTATAACGTCTGAAAAAGTTGTTATTTTTACCGTCTAATATCCATGAATGAGTATAAGCAGTATAAGCATAAACGAGTTACGTGCTATTAATAGAGGTGTCAGGAAGTGTTAGAAGAAAAAATGGGCTCAAATGCGCTACATTTTTTGAAACTTGAAATTATTGCACTTAATCAGGATCACAAGCAAAAGGCAGTAGCAGTAGTTTAGGTCGAAAAAGCATTTGTTACATGCGAAACTGATAGCAGCAGTTGTCCCTTTAGTACTTTTATAAAGCAACAGTATCATAATTATGGACAAATTTATAGTGTTAAAAGAGTGGTTCAAAAATTGAGAGTAATTGTTTTACAACTTAATTAATGAAGAGTTGAGCTGGTTTGATAACAATTTATAGCTGTATTATGGTTAACAAAAAGAGAAACAGCAAAAATGAAAGATACCCATCCTGCACGTTTTGGTGCTATACAGTTTAAACTGGCAACAACTACTCGATAGTCACCACTTCTGCTTACCACTTGTTAGTCTGACCTAAACTCTATAGATGTATACCAGAAAATATAGCACAGAAAAAACAAGCATTGTCCTAACTAAAACAGTATTTATATTTTAAAACAATATGATAAAAATTAGAACAATCGTAACTTTAAAAATAATCATAAAAAATTTCACACATAAATTGTTCCACAAAAGCTGAAACTGAAAAGTTAACGGTTAACAGAATTTTCTTTGCAGTCTGTTAACTGTGGAACGCTAAATAAGCTATTCTCTGAAACTCAACATTTGTCAGATGCAGCCAACCCCATCGACGGACCTGTGGTCGAGCAAATGCGCACGCACACAGCTAAAAGGCGGGACTTGATACTTGTAGACCCGCCCACTAAACTGAGGTTAGTCCTAGATTTTATTCAAAGGTAAGAACTTTGATTATTGTTACACCTTCAAGATGGTCTTCGGTTTGCTGTTATGTGAAGGAGCAGATAAATGTACCAAATAATCCAAAAACGTTCTGTACTTGGTATTCCGTAGAAAAAGAAAAAATTGATAAATACTGTTTAGGGGGTTTATACGCCAATTTATCCACTCAATTCGCGTGCTGAAATGTCACGTTGTTTGATCGTTTCTGTGAAGTGAAGATCTAAACGAACGTTTTGAAGCGGGTATACTTCAATAGTTATAACGCACTTGAAAACATTTTAATGAGTAACTTTTTAAACAGGATAAACATTTACTTGGTCTTCACAAAAACCCTTTGATTTAACCAATTTTACGTAATGGTTTATTTTGTGAATCGACAAATTGTAAAAATCTTTTCTTTGAGAATGTATTTAGAAAAGAATGATAAGTTTCATATTTTTAATTAAAATATTATTAGGCTAACTGTGAATCTGTAAATGTGCTAAGTAACCTTTGCAAAGTAAAGAAGCAACTTTTAAATGTTCAAAATTGACTTGCTATAAGCTCACACTTTTCAAAAATTTTTTTACCAAGGTGCTTCAAAAAGTTCAATTTACTCTCGCTAAATTATTCTACTTTTTGTTGTTTCTTCTGCTGTTTTATAGTTTTACTGCCACATCTTTAATATAGTCAAAATCTCTATGAGGAGCAGGATGGCCTCATTTTTTTAGTAATACTTTTTGAAAAAAATTTTTTCTTTTGCTTTTACTTGCTGTTTTAAAATTTATAAGAAATTTTTGATAAACCGTAGCAATTTTACGTGGAATCAATCAGCTAGTATCAACAGTTTTTCTTTAAAATCTTGAAAAGTTTTGTTGTTCGTGCAATGGAGAAGTATTCGAACACACTTACTGAGAGTTTACTTTAGGCTGAGATAAGAAGTCTGTCTAAAAAAGAAAAATCTTTTTTCTTATCAAACACAGCGCAAATTTTATTCTCTTTCGGACTTTTTCATTCTGAAATTCGTGATATTCAAAAGTAAACCTTTAACAAAGATTCTTATAGCGTAATTTATAGAATGTCTTTAAACTTCTAGAGTGAGCACATGTCACTTCAGAAATGAGGTTATATATGAGCTTTTGATATTCTGAAGAAGTTCCATCTAATTTACCTTTCGCTAGTCGCTTTTAAAACAGTTTTGCGGAATACTTTCACTGTTAGTTGTACTGCTAAGAAATAGAGAACACCAAATAAGAGACCCCCAAGCAATGAAAAATTAAGCAATAACAGCAAGCGAAAGTGTAATTTTCAAATGAACCTAATTCTGAAGCTTTTATTTTTTTTTCCTTTTTCGCCTAACTTCGCTTTCAGCAGTTACCTCAATAAGCTGCTATCGAACAGTCGTTATGTCCTTCCGTATCAGTTTTAATCCAAATATTTAGACAGTCATAAAAACTCTTTTTTTACTTTTTTTTTCTTTTGGATATTCTTGTTTTTGAACCTTTTAAATACACTTTGTTTTCTGTATGTAACTGAAAAATATACTTAGAGAATAAAACCTGGAACTATGACTTTGTAATTTGTACTGCCCGAGCTTTTACATTTAAGCAGCAGTTAGAAAGACTGGAAATTTACTTTAATCTCTCTCTTCTCCAGTCTGCTTCAAATTACTTGAATTGAGAAGTAAAAGTTCACGAAATAAACCTTGTTAACTTCTTATTCAGCTAATAAAAGTGGAAATAACACCTTCAAGGCTACCAAGTAAAACGGCTTTTTAAGAGCTGTGAAACTGTTTGTAAGTCATTTTGCAAAACGACCAAACAAAATTTTGAATATGAATTATAAACAAAAGAAATGAAGTTCAAAGCCAAAAGAGATGAAGTGCAGTACCACCTCTCTTTTTTTTTGTATCAAGCATTTTTTAGTTTCTCTAGATCTCAGTACTGGCTCTTCAAAAAAATAAAACGCTTGTTCTTTCAATTTTTTAGAGATTTAATTCTTTCTCATTTTTAGTTTAATACGTGTTTCCTTATGTGCAATTGATTTTAATGGAAAAATAGTGGGCTCTCATTTAGACTGGTGGCCCCAACATGCTGATTGGCTGGAGAGGATGATGCCAATCAGGAG